CCTCTAAGAAAAGTTTTTATTTTGAGCCACTAAGTTTGCAGGCATTTGTTTCAGCAGTAATAAATAAGTGATACAGAGAGCCAGAGACTGAGAGTGGCCGGGGATGGGGTGAGGTGAGCATAGGGTGAGGACATCTGGACCAGAGGCCTTATAGGACAGTGGGCCCAGATGCTCACTTGCATCCAAAGGCCAGGGTGACTAAACGACCCCAGCAGAGGATGCAGCAGGACTGAAGCCTAAACCAAAGACCCAAAGGGGTGAAATGCCCCTACAGAGGCCAGCAGGGCCCAGCCACCAGCACCCTGACACATATTCCCTTGTTCCTTCATTTTTTTTTTAAAGTGCTTCCCTGCACGAAGACTATGTAAACCAAAAATAAAATTCTAAGCCCTCCAGCCACCGGAATGGACCCCTCCTCTCGGCAAAGTAAATTCCGAAGTTAACCTGAAAAACTAGTTCAGGCCATGATGGAAATTGGGGTCGAACATGCCTCATTATACCCTCCTCCCTTTTGAAATTACTGAGAGAATACTCTTTAAGTCTGATAAGAAGCATTTATAATGTATTCTCTCTGAAGCCAGCTACCTGGAGACTTTGCCTGCATGATAAAAACTTGGTCTCCCTAATCCCTTATCTTAGCCCAGACATTCCTTTCCATTGATTCTAAGACTTTAGACAATAACTTAACCCTTTCAACCAATTGCCAATCAGAAAGTATTTGAATCTGCTTATGACCTGGAAGCCCCTGGCTTCCAGTTGTCCTACCTTCCCAGACTGAACCAATGTACATCTTATTTGTATTGATTAATGTCTTTTATGCCCCTAAAATGTGTAAAACCAAGTTGTAGCCTGACCACCTTGGGCACATGTTTTTGGGATCTCCTGAAGGCTGTGTTATGGGCCATTGGTCACTCATATTTGGCTCAGAATACATCTCTTCAAGTATTTTACAGAGTTTGACTCTTTTCATTGGCAACTGTAATTCTGAGGCAAAATCAGAGGAAAGGGAGAGGGAGTACTTGAGAGGAGAGAATGTACCAGAGAGCACGTGTGAATGTTGAAAACAGAATTTAATTTCTCAATCGAATGACTGTTTCAGAATAGTCTGTTGTAAACATGAAGATGTGAAATGACCTTGGAGTGGTATGATTATGTTTTCTACCATTGTTTGTAGCCCAGTTATACAGAAAGACATTTACATTTTTGCATACACTGTGGCTATTTTGGCAAGCTGCAGGAAGATACTGAGTGCTAAGCGTGTCCATATTCACGATCTCATTAACTGACACAGGCACCCTAGAGGGAATTATTATTTTGCAATCTTCTTATTCTGGAGATGAGAAAAGGGAGGATTAAAAAAATAAGCAATTTTGCCCACAGTAACACAGCTGGTGAGGGATAGCACTGAGCTCCATCCTCAAATCCATCAGACTCTAAAAGACCAGGCTCTAGGCCAGCCATGGTGGCTCATACCTATAATCCTAGCACTTTACAAGGCTGAGGCAGGAGGATTTCCTGAGGATTTCCTGAGGCCAGAAGTTTGAGACCATCCTGGGCAACATAACAAGACCTTGTCTCCACAAACAATGTTAAAATTCCAGGTATGGTGGCATGTGCCTATAGTCCAAGCTCCTTGGGAGGCTGAGATGAGATCACTTGAGCCCCAGCATTCGAGGCAGCAGTGAGCTATGATCACATCACTGCACTCCAGCCTGGGCAACAGTGAGACCCTGTCGCTTAAAAAAAAAAAAGACTAGACTGTTAGGCTCTTTGACAACATACACCTAGCCAAAGTGCAGATTCCTAAAAAGGTGCCTTCCCCACCTGCCACATTTATCTATCCAGCTTCAACCACCAATTCCCTGTACCCTCCTATTTTTCACATTTTATTCTCTGCAGTTATCTTTATATTATTTTATTCTGTCTCCTAGACTCTGTTTATGGAAGCAGAAACTATACCTTTTATCTCTTTGTATTCAAAACCTTTAGCTCTAGTGTCCAGCACTTAATATGCCAGAAAACAGGCATTATTTTGAGAGTCTCCTATCACCCATCCACTGTACCATCATGAATTATTTTATTTCAGTATCTTGAAATCCCACCAGTGTATGAGATTATTGTATTACCTCATTTTAATGAGTAGAAAATGCAAACAGATTATTTTTCTAAGATCACATGGTGAGACCGTTTGAGTACTGATAGGATATATCCCAAAGTTGTCTGAACCCAGGACTGGACATCTTAACATTGACATAAAATTCTCCATCGTTATTATAACTATAGAAAGGCAGAAACCATGATAAATGAAACAAGCTTTATCAGCTTGGATAGTCGTCTAACCTTTATGTGACTCATCTTTAAAATGAAAGCATTGGGTTATTTCACATTTTTTTTTGTCAGCAGCATAATACAAGTATATCTGAGGTTCTGTGGGTATAACCTGAGACTGCACATATAAAAAAGACATTAAGTCTAACTTCTATTTTGTATAATTGACATTCGTATTGAGATAATTGTAGATCGACATGCAGTTGCAAGAAAAAATAGAGACCTCATGTACCCTTTACCCAGTTTTTCCTAATGGTAACTTCTTGCAAAATTATAGTACAATATCAAAACCAGGATATTGAGGTTGATAAAATTCTCCAATCTTATTCAGATTTCCTTAGCTTTACTTCATTTGTATGTGTGTGTTAATTCTATACAGTTTTATCATGTGTAGGTTCTAGTATTCGCCACCATTGTCATGTTACAGAACATTTTCATCACCTCCAGGATCTCTGGTGTTACCCACATTTGCTTCTTCAATAACCACACCCACTGTCCCCCCACCCTCTCTCCTGTCCCAACTAACTGCTAATCTCTTCTCCATTTCTAAAATGTTATCGTTTCAAGAATGTCATGTAAATATTGTCATACAGTATATAACTTCTACGATTGGTTTTTACCATCAACATAATTCCCTGGAGATTCATCCAAGTCACTATATGTATTGATAATTTGCTTCTTGTTATTGCCGAGAAGTATTCCATGGTATGGATGTATGCCATTTGTTTAATGATTTACCCTTGAAAGACATCTGAGCTGCTTCCTTTTGGGGGCTATTACAAATGAAGCTACTATGAAAATTAGTGTATAGGTTTTTGTGTTAACATATGTTTTTATTTTCTGGGATAAATGCCCAGTAGTAAAATTGCCAGGTTGTAGAGTAATTGCACATAAGATACTGCCAAACTATTTTCCAGAGTGGTTGTACCATTTTACATTCCCACCAGCAATGTGTGAGTGATCCAGTCTCACCACATCCTTGCCAGCACTTAGTGGTGTTACTGTTTTTTATTTTAGCCATTTTGATAGGCATATAGTGATATTACACTATGGTTTTAATTTGCATTTCCTTACTGGCTAATGATGTTGAACATTTTTCATGTGCTTATTTTCCATCTGTGTGTCCTTGTCAGTGAAATATTCTCTCATGTCTTTTTCCCACTTTCTAATTGGATTTTTTTTTTTTTTTTTTTTTGAGACAGAGTCTCACTCTGTTGTCCAGGCTAGAATGCAGTGGTGGGATCTCGGCTCACTGCAAGCTCCGCCTCCTGGGTTCACGCTATTCTTCTGCCTCAACCTCCCGAGTAGCTGGGACTACAGGCGCCCGACACCACGCTCGGCTAATTTTTTGTGTTTTTAGTAGAGATGGGGTTTCACCGTGTTAGCCAGGATGGTCTTAACCTCCTGACCTCGTGATCTGCCTGCCTCGGCCTCCCAAAGTGCTGGGATTACAGGCGTGAGCCACCGCGCCTGGCCTGCTGTTGAGTGTTGAGAGGTCTTTGTATATATTAGATACCAACCCTTCGTCAAATGTGTAGTTTGCAAATATGTTCTCCCACTTTGTAGTTTGTCATTTCATTCTCTTCACTTGTCTTTCACAGAGCAAAAGTTTTTTTTGTTTTTTTTTTTTGAGACAGAGTCTCGCTCTGTCACCCAAGCTGGAGTGCAGTGGCGCGATCCTGGCTCACTGCAAGCTCCGCCTCCTGGGTTCACGCCATTCTCCTGCCTCAGCCTCCTGAGTAGCTGGGACTACAGGCGCCCGCCACCGCGCCCGGCTAATTTTTTGTATTTTTAGTAGAGACAGGGTTTCACCGTGGTCTCGATCTCCTGACCTTGTGATCCGCCCGCCTCGGCCTCTCAAAGTGCTGGGATTACAGGCGTGAGCCACCGCGCCCGGCCAGAGCAAAAGTTTTTAATTTTGATGAGGTCTAATTTATAAATATCTTCTTTTATGGATCATGTTTTTGTTTCCAGTCTAAAGATTTTTACTTTTCCTAAAAGTTTTATAGTTTTACATTTATGTCTTTGATTCATTTTGAGTTCATTTTTGTATAAAGTTTGAGGTTTAAGTCAAGGTTTGGTTTTTTTAAGTCTATGGATGTCCAATTGCTCCAGCACCATTTGTTGAAAAGGTTAGTTTTTATTTTTAAAATAAATGATTTTGTGATTTGCTCCGTATTTATATTTTTCATAGAATAGTAATGGCTTCTATTATGTGACATTAAGTATAATTTGTCCTCCAAGGAGATATGGCAAGTAAATCCTGTGGTTTCCTTTAGTTGTTGGAATAGACCCACAGTTTCCTTAGGGCATGTAAACCACAGGATGAGAATAAGTACTGGATGATACTGGAAGCTCCTGTCAGCTTTGATAATCTATCTATGCCTCTGTTTCTGTTCCTTTCTGTCCCTTCACCCCCTCTTCTCTTCTCTCTCTCTCATTAAACTACCATTTTTGATGTGGGTTACCATAGCTCCTAATTTAACCAAGGTGATAGAAGCTTGTGCCAATTAGTAAAATTATTTGCACCCCGGTTTGCCCCCAAAGGTGCCCTGGTTAGAGCAATACATTATGCAGTCATTGTATCTATTGAAGACTTTGTCTGTTTAGCATTTTACTCTTTATACTTCACATACTTTACACTTAGCCTTAACAGTAATTCTTTGTTCTAGATTTGCTTTAGCCCCAACATGCAAAGGGAGAATTTGAGCAAAAAGACTTCAAGGCATCTTGCAGAGGTGATAGGCCTCTATACAGGACTTTAAACTCCTACAGATGTGGGCTTGAATCAGCATGATCAAATTATTCTGGCCGTTGACTCCTCATCAATCTACATGATGGCCATAAATCCTGGATATAGGTGAGTATGTATAATTGTTTACTGATGTTATATATATATAATTGTTTACTGATGTTACAGTATATTCAGATTCTTCTCCCTAGTTAGCAATGTGTGGTTCAGTGTGCTTTGACTCTGATTTCCCTTTTTTTTTTTTTTTTTGAGGCAGGGTCTCACTCTGTTGCCCAGGCTGGAGTGCAGTGGCACGGTCTTGGCTCACTGCAACCTCCACCTCTTGGGTTCAAGTGATTCTCCTGCCTCAGCCTCCCAAGTAGCTGGGACTACAGGCACATGCCACCATACCCAGCTAATTTTTGTATTTTTTGTAGAGACAGGGTTTCGCCATGTTGGCCAGGCTGGTCTCGAACTCTTGACCTCGTGATCCACCCACCTCGGCCTCCCAGAGTGCTGGGATTACAGGCATGAGCCACAGCACCTGGCCTTGACTCTGATTTTCACAAGACTCACCAGTGCATTTAGCATCCCTCAGAAGAAGTAATTGATGAGCTTAAGATCTGGAGAATGCACAGCCAATTCCATGTGGCCATGTCACCCAATCCATCTTTGAAAATCATCAAACCAGTCCCTCTGCATTCTGGCATAATGGGATAACATACAATCCCAATAGACTCACTTTGGGTGACCTTCCCCTACTCTATCAAGTGCAGGTGTTAATTGATTATAAAACATGCTCACATAAAGTAAAATATTTACTCATGTTTCCCAACTTTATAGCTACCCTATACATTTGTAATTGATTTGTCTTCCTCACTAGAATGTACACTCCATGAGGGACCAGGATTTGTCTATCTTGTTCATTGATGAATGTATCATTAGCAGCTAGGAGCCTGTATTTAGATAATATGTCATCCATTTTTAAATGCATGATTAAAATCTGGGAAAGTGAGGAAAGAAGGAGATGAAGAATGAATGATCTTGGATGGGATTATCAGACTAAAGGAAATAAAAGGATAGTTTGAACGGAATCACGAGAAAGAACTGTCTATCAAGGTGCAGTTAGAGCAGTTCTTAGGGAGAAGTTTATCATCTTAGGTGCATACAATTGAAAAGAATACAAGAAAAAAGTAATAATGAAGCACTTATCTCAAGATATTGGAACAGCAAAACAAAGTATAAACAAAGAATACCAAATAGCAATCTGAAATAGAAAACATACAATGCAAGGAAGCAACAAAGTCAAAATTCAGTTATTAAAAAGACTAATAAAATTAACACTATTGACACTTACTTAGAACAGAAGAGGAAAGGTACAAATAATGAATACTGGAATACGAGGGTAACCTAATAAACAGAAGAAATGAATCCTTTCAAATAAAAATAAGTTTTATTTATAAATGATGGATACATTTAAAATATCATAAAAGAGAGGGATGAACAATTTATGCCAGTAAAAGTGGACCGAATAGATAAACTTTTAGAAAATAAAAGTTACTAAAATTGACTAACTGATCCAGAAAAAAATAGAAAATATGAATAGCTCTACAACTACCAAAAGAATTAAATCAGTTGCTTAGGCTGAGGCATCAACCCCGACTTCTCTGTTTCTAATATATCCACATCTAGTAATCAACAAACCCTGTCAGATTACCTGCCAAATATATTAAGAATTTGACCTCTTCCCATGATTTCACTGATACGACTCTGATCCAAGCCACCAGCGTCTCTCATCTGGATTACTGGTTCTACCCTTGCCCCCATGCAGTCAGGGCAATCCCTTTAAAACAGAGTTCAGACAGAGTCACTCACTGCTCTAAGCATTCTGGTGGCCCCAACGTGAGCCAGATTAAAAGCCTAAATCTTCACTCTTCCTTATGAGACCCTACGTACTTGAGCTATTCTCCTGTTAATCCTTTAGCCCTCTTCTTTTTCAGCTTCAGTAGCTTTCTTACCGACCCTTGAACACAAGGAGCTATTTAGGCTGTCCTAGAGTTTTTACACTTTCTAATTTCTCTGCGTGGGAGACCTTTCCTCCTGGAACACACATGGTTATTTTTCTCGCTTTCTTAAAATATCGACGTAAAAGCTATCTTCTCAGGCCTTCCTTGGCCACTCTATCTAAAACGTTAACCTCCTGCCATTTCGTATTTCTTCTCTCTACTGTATATGTTTTTCTCTTCTACACATCACCATTTAACTTACTATGTATTTTATTTATTGATATGGTTTGTTATCTATTTTCCTCACTGGAATGGGGAACTGCGTAAGGGGAGAGCTTTTTGCATATGTTCACTGCTGTCTCCTCAGGGTCTAGAACAGCAAGAAGGCCACCATAGCTGGACTATATTCACAAGGGGTGGAGCAGCAGGGGAGAAGGTCAAAAGAGTTAACAGGAAACGGATCATTTAGGGCCTCATAAGTCAAAGTGAGGACTTTGCTATTATGCCAGAAAGACATGAGTGGGCACTTGGAGGGCTTAGGAAAACTAAAGACCTAAATAAATGTGATTACTGTGTCCATGAATTGAAAAACTAAATATTGTAAAGATGTCAAGATTTGACAAGTTAATTGATAAATTCAATGCAATCCCTATCAAACTCCTAGCAAGGTTTTTAGTGGAAATTGATAAGCTGACATTACAATGTACCTAGAAATGCAAAAGGCCAAGAATAGCCCAGCCAATCTTGAAAAACAAAGTTAAGAGACTTTTACTACCAGATATTAAGACTTATTTTAAAATTACAGTAATTAAGTATGATATTGGCATAAGAACAGATAACCAAAGGACAGAAACAAAATATAGAACCCAGAAATAAACCTATATAGCTTATGAAAAAAGCCATACTGCAGAGCAGTGAGGAAGGAATGGTCTTTTCAATAGATGGTGTTGAGTCATCTGGGAAATTATATGAGAGAAAAATAAATCTACCTTTCACCATATACTTAAATCAATCACATGTGAATTCATGTCTAATTGTGAAAAGTAAAACAAAGCATTAGCTGATATAATAGGACAACATTTTCATGAATCTGAAGTAGGAAATGATGTCTTAAATAGGACAAAACTGCATTAACCAAAAAGGAAAAGATTGATAAATTTGACTACATTAAAATTAAGAACTCCTGTTCTCAAAAGACACCATTAAGAGTGAAAGAGGCAAGCCAAACAATGGAAGAAAGTATTGGCAATAAATACACCTGACACAGTATTCTTACACTGTATATACACAAAACCTTTTTGAATTGATAGCAGACAACCCAATTTTAAAAATCGGCAAAATACTTGAATAGGCACGTCACACACACCCAATATCAACATGGGCAATAGGTGTAGAAAAGGTGCTCAACCTCATCAGTAATTGTGAGAAATCTAATTAATCGCAAAATGACATGGTACCACACAACCACCTAAAATTAAAAAGGTTTGGCTAAAACTAAAATGATTGACAATACCAAGTTTTGGCAAGAATGCGGAACAACTGGAATCACACACATTGTTGGTGAAGAGTATATTTTTACAATTTCCAAAAAGAAGACATTTTAGCATTATCTACTAAAATTGAAGATATCTGTACCCTATAACTTAGCAATTACAGTCCTAGGTAATATCTTATGGAAAGTCATGCTTTTGTTCACCAGAATTTGTGTACAAGAATGTTCATAGTAGCACTATAATGTCTATAAACTGGAAAAATTCAAACATCCATTAGAAGTAGAATGGATAATTACATGGCAGTATACTCATATACTGAAATATTGTACAGTAATAAAAATAACATGCTAAACATGGTAACATGAACAAATGTCACAAACATAAACACAAGGGAACATGTGAAGTGTTTTTCCATGTACCTAGACTTCAAGTAACAGGCAAAGCTAAAATAGAGTGTTTACAGATGCGTAAAATAGAGTGTTTATGAATGCATGCTTGGGTGGTTAAAGTGTAAAGAAAAAGTAAAATATAATTGGCATAAAAGGATAGTGTTTATCTTTGGACTTGTCTCAACCGACTCTATCCCTTGGGTTCCTCTCTGGTAAAATGGAAGGAAATAACTGAGACCTGAAATTAGCGCTTACTTCACTTGAAGGACCATTTGGGTGGAAGGTGAGGTAGGAGGAGGAAAGATGGAGCCAATAAGGGGGTGGTGGGAGATCTCCTAGTGGGAGGGAATTGGCAGCCAGCCAGGGGACCTACACTTCAGCCTCAGCTCATAAAAATTACTGTAGGGCCTTGAAAAACTCACTGTCCCTCTTTGGCCCTAGTTTCTTTCTCTGTAAAATGAGAGAAGTTGAAATTAACTGTCTTTTGTGGAGCACCTATTTTATATTAGATGGGCATTATCCTAGGAGCTCTGGGAGCTCTACTATTTTACATACAAAAGCCTGAGTGAGGTGAATCTTGTCCCTACTTTAAGGGTAGCAGTTGTGAGGATGAGATATGAGAAGTCACCAGCCAAGGGCAAAGACAGCTTAGAATTCTCCAACCCATTCATAATATGGTTAGGCGAGTGTGGTACTCTAGTGTGATGGGTCCCCCATCAGTTTGCTTAAGGGTGTATGTCTGCTGCCTGAACCCTGAAGGCCAGCCGGTGAGCCAAGGTCATGGTGCCCAGCCAAGGAGCAGGTGTCCCTATGAACCCAAGCATCCCAGAGAGTATCTAAGAATCTACAAGAAAACAGTCTTATTGCACACATGGTCGGCAAAAAGCCAGAAAATTTGCTTAAAAGTAGCTTAGGGGCCGGGCGCGGTGGCTCACGTCTGTAATCCCAGCACTTTGGGAGGCCGAGGTAGGCGGATCACAAGGTCAGGAGATCGAGACCATCCTGGCTAACACGGTGAAACCCCGTCTCTACTAAACAATACAAAAAAATTAGCCAGGTGTGGTGGCAGGCACCTGTAGTCCCAGCTACTCGGGAAGCTCAGGCAGGAGAATGGCATGAACCCGGGAGGCGGAGCTTACAGTGAGCTGAGATCACACTACTGCACTCCAGCCTGGGCGACAGAGCGAGACTCTGTCTCAAAAAATAAAAAAGTAGCTTAGGGCTGGGAAGCAGGGTGGATCTCTAAAGCTGTCCCCCTGCTGTCCAGGAGTGCCATATATGTAAGTCCTAATAAACTCATCTACTTGCCAAACTGGACTTGCCTAACTCATTTTTTGGTCTTTTGGCTCCCTCCCAGTTTGGGGGATAGTTTTCGATTATGATTCTGGGTTTTTCTTATTATAGGTATAGTGTTGTCTACTGATACGATTATTTTCACATGGTCAATTTTTAATTATGTATCAAATAAAATGAATACATGTTTTTGTTGATAAAAAGAGTAAAATATTATCAAGATGTCCCATTTACGTTGATCATCTCTAGAGAAATAAGTACTGTCATCAGGTTAGTGTGTATTCTTGACTTTATTTCCAAGTGTTTATATCTATACATTTCAAGTGAAGCTATCGAAAATACTTAGTACAGTGCCACCTATAGTACAGGAATTTCAATTATACAAATTTGAAATGAGGCCAAAGAATGATCATATTAATAATTATGTCTCATATTGAGGTAGGAGGTGGGATTCGACTCCAGAGGCAGGTTCAGACTGCAGACCAGGTTAAAGAAACAGGGAAGAAGTAGAAGCCCCTCTCCATAAGACATGCCTACCAGTGAGTGCCTTGTCAGTTTACTGTTGCCATGGCAACACTGGAAGTTACAGCCTCTTTCCATGGCAACGGCCTGACAACCTGGAGATTACCACCCTTTTTCTAAATATCTCTGCATAATCTGACTGTTAATGTGCATATAATTAAAAGTGGCTATAGGCCCGGGGCGGTGGCTCACGCCCATAATCCCAATACTTTGGGAGGCTGACGCGGGCAAATCACCTGAGGTCAGGAGTTCAAGACCACCCTGGTCAACATGCTGAAACCCCATCTCTACAAAAAAAAAAAAAAATTAGCCAGGCATGATGGCGGGTGCCTGTAATCTCAGCTACTCAGGAGGCTGAGGTGGAAGAATCACTTGAACCTGGGAGGCGGAGGTTGCCGTGAGCCGAGATTGCACCATTGCACTCCAGCCTGGGCGACAGAGCAAGACTCTGTCTCAAAAAAAAAAAAAAACTGTGGGTATAAACATAACTGTGGAAGTGCCCCTGAGCTGCTACTCTGCGCACACCATCTATCAGGGAACCCCACTCCACAAGCAGTATTTCTGCTGCAGCTGTGCACTGCCACCTCAGTAAAAGTTGCTGTCCAACACCACCAGCTCACCAAAAACCATCCTGGGCTAAGCCCTAATCTGGGGGCTTGCCTGCCCGACATCAATATTAGATATGAATTTCAATATCATACAGATCTCCCAAAGTTTCCAAAATTTGTAAGGAGTCATATCACTTATAAGCAGTAAAGAACACTAATTGTGAACTTTGGTTACTTCAATGACACTTGGCCATATCACTTTAGCATATAAACTACGATAGACTCATTTAACATTCAGATCCATGACTGCTAGTGTCCTGTGATGAACACATTGTTACTAATGCTTTAGAATATTCTAAACGATTTCGTAATGTAGTTATTTTAACATTTACTTTTATTAAAATGTTAAGTATTTTAATTACTACACCAGTCCCATCCAAATATTCATTAAACAGTGGAGCTTTTAGAGGGTTTAAAAAAAAATTCATGAAGATCAATTACTTTGAAGTGGAAATTAGATGTTATAATATACTACAAAGATACTTAAACCAACACCACAATGCACTGTGCAGTTAATTTAGTGGAGAACACTCAATACAACATCAGATCTAAAGCTGAGAAAATTTAAAAGGCAACATTAGCGTACATATATTCCACAAATAATGTAAATTTATGCCCCTGAGAACGCCTCCTCTCTATTCCATGTCTATTCCTAGGGGGATATTAGTGTTGAATGATGCAAGTTTTGAATTTCCTAGGCCTTTGTAAACAAAATCCTGGCATAGACTGCACTATTGTTATGTGTGAGGATGAAGTCGATTTTTAATTTTTGTTTTGGTTCAATGTTTTCCCTGTGTTTAGTATTTACATATATATTTAAACCCTTAGGAAATATGTGTTATTTTTACAAAAAAAAAAAAAAACCAATGCCTTATTTTTGTGTGTAAAGTACATTTTATTTAAAAATATTGTAAACTCCACCCATATCACTTAGAATATCCCTACATTATGTGTTTTTTCTTTTATATCCTTGTGAGCAGGAAGTCACCTGCATTATAATTTTTAATGGGTACCTAGCATCTCACCTTATAGATTCCTACAAGTTATTTTATCCTTTTTTCACATTTAGATTTTTTACAGCGTATTGCTGTTAACATGAATTGTGAGAAAGGTACCTACACACTTATCTTTGGACAGCTATTTCCTTAGGGCACATTAATAGAAATAGAATTGCTCTATTAAAGTGCATGCTCATTTTAAATCTGGTATGGAATGGTCTCCAACTTGGTGTGGAGTGGCCTCCAACAAATATAATTTGTTTTAGAAATTATATTCCAAAAAAATTATCAGAATTAACATTTTCCCAAACTGATACCCATCCTATGTATCATTTTTCTTTATAATCTGCCAACTATAAAGGCCAAGAAGTGTATGTAAACATTTGCATTTTTGGCCAGGTGTGGTGGCTCACGCCTGTAATCCCAGCACTTTGGGAGGCTGAGGCAGACGGATCACCTGAGGTCAAGAGTTCAAGACCAGCTTGGCCAAAATGGCAAACCTCATTTCTACTAAAAATACAAAAATTATCCAGGTTTGCTGGCATGCACCTGTAATCTCAGCTACTCGGGAGGCTGAGGCAGGAGAATTGCATGAACCCAGGAGGCGGAGTTTGTAATGAGCTTAGATGGAGCCACTGCACTCAAGCCTGGGTGACAAGAGTGAGACTCTATCTCAAAAAAAAAGTAAATAAATAAACATTTGCGTTTTTAATTTGTAGTTTATGGGCTGTTTTCACATATTTATTCTTCATTTGCATTTCCCTTTTATTACTTACCCTTCATATTCATAGATCATTTTTATGGTAGTGTAATCTTCTTATAAATGTGTAAGAGATAATTAAATGAAGTCAACAAACCATTTCTTTCATATACTTAACAAATGTATTTTCTAAGTGTCTTTTTACTTGTTTGTTTCTAAAAGCAAGATTTTAAATTTGTCTAGAGTAAAATTCGGCAGTCATTTCTTTTGTGGCCACTGCCTTTGATGGCTTGGTATTCTTACCTAGAGATTAGGCAAGAAAATTTTTTTATATTTTCTCTAGAATCCTGCTGGTTTACTGTTAAAAATGTTAAGCCAAAAGTCTACATGAAATTTATGTGTTATAGGCTGTATGTGCTAGACACATAATCCTCTCTCCCACCAACACCTCTTGTTTCCTAACATGATTTCCCCCTCTTTCCCAAAAATTTCATCTTTTTCATACTCTAATTTTTTTTTTTTTTTAGTCGGAGTTTTCCTCTTGTTGCCCAGGCTGGAGTGCAATGGCGTGATCTCAGCTCACCGCAACCTCCGCCTCCCAGGTTCAAGCGATTCTCCTGCCTCAGCCTTCCTGAGTAGCTGGGATTACGGGCATGCACCACCATGCCCAGCTAATTTTGTATTTTTAGTAGAGGTGGGGTTTCTCCATGTTGGTCAGGCTAGTCTCAAACTCCCGACCTCAGATGATCCACCTGCCTCGGCCTCCCAAAGTGCTGGGATTACAGGCGTGAGCAGCTGCGCCCAGGTTTTTTTTTTTTTTTTTTTTTTTTTTTGACAGAGTCTCGCTCTGTCGCCCAGGCTGGAGTGCAGTGGCACAATCTCGGCTCACTGCAAACTCCACCTCCCGGGTTCATGCCATTCTTCTGCCTCAGCCTCCTGAGAAGCTGGGACTTGCCACCACACCCGGCAATTTTTTTTTGTATTTCAGTAGAGATGGAGTTTCACCGTGTTAGCCAAGATGGTCTCAATCTCCTGATCTCATGATCCGCCTGCCTCAGCCTCGCAAAGTGCTGGGACAGGCTGGAGTGCAGTGGCACGATCATAGCTCACTACAGCCTTGACCACTCAGACTCACGTGATCCTCCTACCTCAGCTCCCTGAGTAGCTGGGACTACAGGTGTGCACCACCATGCCCAGCTAATTTTTTCTAGTGTTTTTGTGTTTGTTTTGTTTTTTAGAGAGGGGGTTATACTGTGTTGCCCAGGATGGTCTCAAACTCATGGTCTCAAGTGAATCTGCTGCCTTGGCTTCCCAAAGAACTGGGATTACAGGCCTGAGCCACCGTGCCTGGCTGGAGCTTACTATTTTAAAGTTATTATTATCAGCAGCAGCAGAAAAGAAACAATTGATATAAAAGTATATCGGCCTACACATCATCTTAACCATGGGATCAAAGTTAATCTTGCCAAAAATGGGCGTGTGGGATAAACAGTCACAGTGGAGGCTGCAGCTCCCAAAACAACAGCCACAATATCAGGAGCAGGACCTGCATTGTCAGCTATCCCACCCCTATCCCACAGTCACCACCCCCGTCCCTGGGGTTGGGAAGAAGGAGTGGCAGTAGCGGCAGCAATGGCTGAACTAAACAGGTCACCTACTGGTATTTTGTGCATGGGATTTGTAAGGAAGGAGATAACTGTTGTTACTTGCACTCCCTCTCTGACAGTCCACATGGTGTAGTGGGCACGTATTTTCAGCGAGGGTGCTGTATTTATGGAGGCCGCTGCAGATGTGAACTCAGCAAGCCACTGAAACGGAAAGAAGCAACTGCTACAGATCTGACTACAAAATCATCCCTTGCTGCTTCCTCAAGTCTCTCGTTCATAGTTGGACCGCTTGTTGAAACGAATACAGGCAAAGCTGAGTCCAATTCAAACTTGGCAACTGTAGGAGCGTGTTCAGAGGACTGGTGGATGCTGTTGAGTTTGTTCCCAGGCAACTCTACTGCAGCCATGCTGCCTCTTTCTGCAGTGACCAAGGGAGAATCAGAGAAAGAGCAAATAGCTGTGATAACAAAGAAGCCGCTTTGCCCCTAGGCTGCAGTGGGAGAGATGGAAATGGGTAGAACTGTGTGTGTCTCCACAGAGAGTCATGTGATCATGTAAGCTGCAGGTCCTACCTCCAATGGATGCTGCCCAGAGACCACAGCATGTGAAAATCTTGCCCTGAGGCCCATGAGAAGGAAACAGAGCTCTCACTGGCTATGCAGTGCAGCAAGGATACGATGTGTGGGATCTGCATGAAGGTGGCCTGTGAGAAAGCCAGCACCGGTGAGCGTGGCTTTGGGATCCTCTCCAGCTGCAGCCACACCTACTGTCTCAAGTGTATTCACAAGTGGAAGGGCACTAAGCTATTTGAGAGCAAGATCATAGTGTCCTACCCAGAATGCCGGGTCACATCTAACTTTGTCATTCCCAGTGAGTACCGGGTGGGAGAAATAAGAGAAGCAGAAACGATTTTGATGAAGGATGGGGGAGCTGCCTATCTTGGGGGATGTGTTTTTACAAGCAGGTATTCCCTGATGGCCATAGAAAGGATAGAGACAGGCAAGCAGATACTGGGCCCAGTGAAGGAACCACTTCTAGGAGTTCATTGAGGAAAGAGAGAACAATGACCCCTTTGACAACAATGAAGAAGAGGTTGTCACCTTTGAGCTGGGTGAGATGTTGCTTATGCTCGTGGCAGATGGGGACGATGAACTGACAGACTTTGAAAATGAGTGGGACTTGTTCCATGTTGATTTGGAAGATTTTTATGACTTGGCTCAATAGCCACCTCGCGTGGCATGTGGACTGGCCTGCTGACCTCAGCAGCAGTCCCCTGTGGCAGTGTGACAGTGTCCGTGTTTGCTGTCTTAATTTTTACCCAGGGCCTGTCTTCTCAATCTGTGACCTTTCCCCAAGAAGTGTGTTACTTTCTCTGTGGAAAAAAGATTCAAAAATAAATCCTGAAGTTAGTGTTTTGTAACATGAATTTAACAGTCAGACAGTTCATGTAGGTGTGTTGTGTCATCTGTTTTCAACCAGATTGTATTTATGGACTCTGCACGCTCATTTTGAGGACCCTAGGTTCAAAAGCAAAAGCTGTGGCCCTGCTTTCCGGTCCAAGGATAGGAGCGATGGCTGAAGGGATGTGCGCTTGTAAAGAGTCTTCTGCTCCAACACAGGGTGTGGATCCTTGAGTTTTCTGCTGAAATCTGCACATCTGTGGTTTTATATCTGTTCCCTACCCTGTGATTCCCACCCTGTCCACTTGCTCTGTGATTTTGGTCTCTTGCTTAATTGTACACAAGTAATACTACTGGGTAACCAGAACCAGGTGCGAATGTGTTGAGATTTCTATTATGTGTTTTGTTTGTTGTTTGTTTTAGATGGAGTCTCACTCTGCCACCCAGGCTCCCAGGCTGGAGAATAGTCACATGATCTCGGCTCACTGCAACCTCCCCCTCCCAGGTTCAAGCAATTCTCCTGCCTCAGCCTCCCAAGTAGCTGGGACTACAGGCATGCACCACCACACCTGGCAAATTTTTGTATTTTTGGTAGAGACAGGGTTTCACCATGTTGGCCAGGCTGGTCTTGAACTCCTGATCTCAGCTGATCCTCGCATCTCGACCTCCCAAAGTGCTGGCATTACAGGTATGAGCCACCGTGCCCAGCTACCACGTTTTGTATGATAGGAAAATTGAGAGAGAATGCAAATAAAAGATAGAGGGGCATAAAATCAATGGAGAGTTGAAAGTTGACTCCCAAGAGCTTGGTGTGTGTGAGTGTGAGTATGTGATAAGCTGCTCATCCCTGCATAGATGCAGTATTCTTAGCCTTAGTAGAGAAACTTGGTTTAGTGGTTTAAGCCTTGTGTGGCAGATAGATTTTAAAGGACAAAGCAGTGCTAGCTCTGTCTGTTTATATAAATAAAGAAATGGCTTAGCTATACAGTTAAAACTATCCGGTTATCCTACATATTAACACAAACGGGGGGTGAATACAGAATTGTATTTACTGTTTACAATCTAGGCTTTCTAGTCCAGGCACTTTTTGAAAAACCTTTGTCCCCATTCGAGATGTTTAGTTGTTGAGTGTTTTGTGTTTGTTTTTGTGGGTATTTGCCTAATTTTACCTCTGAGCTTTCAGGTAGACAGATGTGATTCAGAACTACATTCTAAGGTGTTTACTGTAGTGGAGTAATTGGTCTACAGTAATAAGTCACACTTTTCTACTAAAGGGGAGGAGATGGTAATCCCTGAGACAAGCTAAGTTATTAAAAGAATTTCTATTAGAAATTTTGCCTTTGTGCTTTGTTGCTCTGTTACCTGAAAATAACCTGGACCTGCTCCTGGGCTACCACTTGGTTCCTTGGATCCCACTCGTTCTTTAACTTTAAGTAAAAAACAAGTAATTGTTGCTGTTTGGCTTTGAAGGGAAGGTGAGGGTTAAAGAAAGATACAGAGAGAGAGGGGGGCTCAACAGCAACACAGGCGTATTGCAGAAACCTGCAGAGATGGGGGGTCAGCTTAAAGTCAGAGTCTGACTGCTTACAGGCTGGGGTAACTTATAGGAATGGGCAGGAGGGGTCTGGGCCATCTGACTTGCTGCCCGGCAGGATATTGGTAAGACGTACCTATGGTCAAGCAGTTTGGCCCTTTTTCCAGTGGGATGTGATAAGATGTTCCTTGGACCTTTGTCCAGCAGGATATGATAGGGATATCTCTTCAGTTGGGCCCTTGCCCGGCAGAGTATGATAAGAATATTTCTCATGACCTGAACCCCCGTGGAATGTTTCACTTTGACCAAGGTCTGCGAAATGGCAAGGGGCTTACAAAATGATGCAGTTTGGACTAACAGTTGCCAAAGTCTGTTGTGTTTTGCAGCCACCCTTTTGTAAGAAGCACATTTCCCAAGTAAAACAAAAAATCATTTTTACAGATGATGCTTTTCAGTATCTATTATGGAGTATGACCACAATGCACCAATTTAATATTGGAAAATGCCTGTTCTTCATGGGTATAGATAATTTCATAGCAGGTATTCAGAAGAGTATTTTGTAATTCTTCTGTGTTTTATTAAATTCTTTATTTTTCTATTACCGTTTTAGTTTTGCACTTCTTAGTTTCAATTTATTTATGTTATTCATTAAATAAGCTTTTAATTATTTACCATTACTTCATATGCTGTCATGTCTTTTTTTTTTTTTTTTTTTTTTTTTTTTTGAGACGGGGTCTTTCTGTCGCCCAGGCTAGCATGCAGTGGTGTGCTCTGGGCTCACTGCAAGCTCCACCTTCCGGGTTCACGCCATTCTTCTGCCTCAGCCTCCCCAGTAGTGGGGACTACAGGCACCCGCCACCATGCCCGGCTAATTTTTTGCATTTTTAGTAGAGACAGGGTTTCTCCGTTTTAGACAGGATGGTCTCGATCTCCTGACCTCGTGATCCGCCCACCTTGACCTCCCAAAGTGCTGGGATTACAGGCCTGAGCCACCGTGCCCGGCCTGGTGTCATGCTTTAGCAGTTATTCACATGAAGTAAAATTATGCCGTAAATATGCATTTGTGTAATATCCATTTCTTAGTAAAAAGACATGCATCTGTCTACTGCCAATTGGTGTGTGTTTTGGTTTGCTGGTGGAAAAAATACTCTTTCAGAGCTCTTCCAAGGTTACGTAGTGTTGAGTGGCTTGTTCCTAGGGTGTTTGAAGATAGGCTTCCCTTTAAATAATTTGAAAAGTAATCATCCTTTATTTAAAATTGTACTCACTTTGTATTCCTATACATGTGTAAACTTTGAGAACTTTTTATCTCTTCAGTATGTGTTAATTTTAGCGTAAAAGTCATCATCCATCTTGAGTCAATACAAAGTCTATGGAACTTTTGTATCTTTCGGGTACCTGTGCTAGATTTCTGATCAAGGAATTGTTACCAAAAGGGTAGATTAATAAAGGAGAGTTGTGCCAAAAATCTTTTTTACCAGAAGTGGGATAAACTGACATTATCCCACTGACCTAGCATGATACACCAAGAAGAACACAACATTCCTTATATAGGATTCCTGCCAAGAAATGTATAACCTGAATTGCATTATGAGGAAACTTTCCGTCTGAAGAGACCACCAAACAGGCTTTGCGTGAGCAACAAGGCTGTTTATTTCACCAGCGTGCAGGCGGGCTGAGTCTGAAAAGAGTCAGTGAAGGGAGATAGGAGTGGAGCTGTTTTATAGGATTTGGGTAGGTAGAGGAAAATTACAGTCAAAGGGCATTGTTCTCTGGTGGGCAGGGGTAGGGGTCACAAGGGACCCCTTGTGCTCAGGGGAGCTTTTGAGCCAGGATGAGCCAGGATAAGGAATTTCACAAGCTAATGTCATCGGTTAAGGCAGGAACAGGCCATTTTCACTTTTTTGTGTGATTCTTCAGTTACTTCAGGCCATCTGGATGTGTACGTGCAGGCCCAGGGGATATGATGGCTTATCTTGGGCTCAGAGGACTGACAGAAACAATCAGACAAACCCAAATAAAGGAACATTCTTCAAAACAACTGATGCGTCCTCTTCAAAATTAACAATGTCTTGAAAGACAGAGAAAGGCCAAGGAACTAGATTAAAGTGGTCTAAATGATATGACAACTCTATGTAAAAGTGATCCTCAATTGAACCCGGATCAGAAAAAAATTATAAAGGATATTATTAGAACAATGGGTAAAATTTGAATATGACCTAGATTTTAGATAATAATATTATATCTGAGTTTTTGGATTTGATAATTGTGGTTATGTTTAAACAATTTTGATAATTGTGGTTATGTTTTTAAAAATGCCCTTGTTCTAGGAGATATATGCTAAAGTTTTACGTGTGACAGTTCATATTTGTAACTTACCCTCAAATAGTGAGGATGAGAAGAGAGACAGAAGGTGGGGAGGCAGATTATTTGCTCTTGGTGAATCTGAGTAAATGGTTTACAGATGATCATTCAGAATAAATCATCCCTGAAACTTTTCTGTAAGTTTAAAATATTTCAAAGTAAAAAGTGTAAAAGGGTAAGAAAATTATTAATAACATGTTCAATGAAAAGACCCAAATAGCTCATTGAGATTTTGGGGTCCCATTTCAATATCACCTAACATTGACCATGGTCATCTCTGGAAGGGGAGATTCTGAGTATGCTTTTTAGATGAAATTTTCCTTTGATTTATGTGTATTTGCCATTACGTGAGATTTTTACTTTTGAAATCCAGTTTCAGGTGGAGGTAATATTTGCATTCTGGGGAGAAAGCTTGCTGGTCGTGGTTATTAATCTTTTAGTTATTGCTTTGCTTTATTTTCTATAAATATTCCACTATGTTGCTTGGCTTTCATTAATTTTGTTTTCGGATGTGCAGTTGACAAACACCTTTCCTTCTCACGGTACCTTTGCATCTAAAGTGACATTGATTATACGTGGAGCGCGTTCAAATCCCCTACCTGGTGAGTTATGAGGAAGGGAACTAGGGCTCAAAACAAAAGTAGAGGTGACTTTGAACCACAAATCCCCCAACTCGCCGAATAAGCCAGAAACTTTTAAGAAGTTCCCTAAGGAAGGGGGCGCGGAGACTTGTGGGAAACGGAGTCTGGAATTTGATGGCTCGCCCCGGGAGCGCCCCAGGAACCGGTCCTTGGCAGGCCTGTCTGCGCATGTGCAGTTCTTCCTCATTGTTCCTTACTCCTGTCTCGGATCGCGTGGAGCCTCCGCGTGTAGGCGTACCTCAGCGACCAGGTGCTGCACTAAGGCTGTGCTCCGCGGGCGAGAGGCTAGCTTGGAGGGTTGCTTTGCGGGGCTTGAGGTAGGTTTGTGTTCACAGCCTGTGGAAGCAAAAATTTGCGCAAATCCTACGCGGATTCAGACCCCATGGCATTTGTTCCCGAGTCTGCCCTGCATCTGTCCGTCTAGAAAGCAAGTGACGGAGGAGGAGGTCCGCTGCGGATCTGCTGGTTCCACGAAGAAGAT